ACTCCCTTCTTTATTCCAAAGGACTGATCTTTGGAATTGGTTAGAGAAATTATATTTTTGAAGATTCTTCATATTAAGAGAAAAACAAAGACCAGGTGGAATGGAACAGAGCTTCTGGAAAAGAGGTATTCCTTAAGATTCCAGCAGAGGTTCCTCTCAATAGAAGCCTAAATGATAAAACTAGAATTGTAATTAATGATGGACAGATCTGCAGTCATTTCTATTTGGTCTTGAAAGTGATCACCCTATACCTTGACCAGAAAAAAAAAAAAATAGCACATATGAGTTCAAGACTTGGTTCAAAGACAAACTGATTGGAAGGAAGTGGTAAATTCTGGAAAAAATTGACTACTTGGTCCCATGTTGGAAAAATTCTCCCTTATATTGATATTATTAAAAAACCAAACAAACAATGGTAGAGGAACATAAAGAAAAACACCCAGACCCACTTCTACTATGTGGAGTCCAAAACAGTGAACAAATGGAAATTGACTTTCTCAAAATATGTTCCCCTGAATGCTATTGTCTGACCAAATACACTGGGAATTTCTGGGTTAAATGAAAGTAAACAGGTTTTGGTATTGTTAGGAGAAGCAATCTGCTATGGTCCCAGAGCATCCATGTACATTCTTGTTGGCTATCCCACCACTGTAAGACTTTGGTCATTCTTTTGCTGGGACATTGATCATGGCTGTGTTTGTAGTGAGTGATCTTGCAATAGGCAGTGTTAAGGTGTTTGGAGGGGCGCAACACCACCAGAGCCAGTGTACTGGAAGTGTGTGAGGGTAACAAGAGATCCGAGCAATGCAAAAATTTGCAACACACAAAAAAGATAGAGGAAGAAAAGATTTATTTAAGAAAAGATCGTTTCCCATAGACAGGAAGAGGGCCAGCAATCTAAGGTGAGTGTGGGTATCTGGGGTGCCATCTGATGTCGCATGAAAGAAGTGAAGAATTGCACAGGAGTTAAATTAGAAAATATAGTTTACTTAAAAGTAAATCAAGCCGGGCTTGGTGGCTCAGCCTGTAATCCCGCGCCTTTGGGAGGCTGAGGTGAGTGGATTGCCTGAGTCTGAGGGTTCGAGACCCGCTGGGCAGCGAGACCTCATCTCTACAATAAATCAAAAAATCAGCCGGGCATGGTAGCGCACGCCTGTAATTCCAGCTACTCGGAAGGCTGAGGTAGAAGGATCGCCGGAGCCCAGCAGGTCGAGGCTGCGGTGACCGGGAGTGGCCACTGCACTCCAGTCTGGGCGTCAGAGTGAGACTCCAACTCAAAAAAATAAAAATAAAAAAAATAAAATAAAATAAAGTAAATCAGAGAGAGAGAGAGAGAAGATTCACTTCCCCAAGGTGGGGAAGGGGACCAAAGTCAGGCAGCATGGCGAAAGCCATAGCTCAAAGAGCACATGGCCACACCAGAGTCTAGCAAGGCAATGGTGAATGGCTACTGGTGGTTGAATCCTTTTAACCATTCCCTTTGATGGGGGAAGGTCATTAATGGTGGTGGTCTGCTCCACATCATCACGGAGGGACTGGCAAGTGCAGGTACTGATGTCAGGTGATGGACAGCAGGTAGATGGTTAGGTTAGTCACATGACTGCTGCCATGGTGGGATCTCTCTGTGTCATGTAGGTCACAAAGGGCTGATTAGGTTAACTTGGGGATTTCGGTTCAGAGGGAATTATCCTGCAAGAGGTTTGTTAGACATTTACAATCCACAAACTCCTTAACCAAGGGTGGGCTTATAATCATTTCTATGACTTTGACCTTCTGCGTTGACTAGGAACCTGTAAGTTTACTATAGATTATTATGATAAATCATGGATTGAAAGGTTGGGCTGTCCAGGTCCTGCATCTGATGGAGATTTGTCAAAGGGGTGAGATAGGCTGCTGCTTAGCCCGCAGTAAAATTTCTAAACCCTTTCTAATGGCTATGCTGAGGCAAAAGACTAAACTAAGAAACGAAGCAGGAGGTATCACGCTTCCAGACTTCAAACTTTACTATAAGGCTACAATAATCAAAACAGCCTGGTATTGGTACAAGAACAGGCACATAGACCAATGGAATAGGATGGAGATTCTGGAAGCAAAGCATCAATTTCTCAATCAACTCATCTTTGACAAAGCTTCAAACAACAGCCACTGGGGAGAGGAGAACCTATTCAGTAAATGGAGCTGGGAAAACTGGCTGATCACATGCAGAAGATTGAAACAGGACCCCTACCTGTCACCATACACAAAAAGTAACTCTAAATGGATCAAAGACCTAGACTTAAAACCTCAAACTATAAGAATCTTAGAAAACGCAGGAGGCACCCTTATGGAAATTAGAACTGGCAACCAATTCCTATTCAGAACCCTAAATGCCTATATCTTAAGAAATAAGACAGACAAGTGGGACCTCATCAAGCTAACGAGTTTCTGCAAAGCAAAAGAAACCATCAAGAGAGCAGGGAGACAGCCCACAGAATGGGAAAAAATATTTGCCAATTGTATATATGACAAAGGCCTAACATCTAGGATCTGCAAGGAACTCAAATACACCGAAAGGAAAAAACCAATCAAAAGTTTTTAATGGAAAAAAACTTTTTCCATTAAAAAGTGAACAAAAGACATGAGTAGACACTTCTCAAAAGAAGATATACAGGCAGCCAACAGATACATGAAAAGTGCTCAGCCTCCATAATCATCAGAGAAATGCAAATCAAAACTACATTGAGATACCACCTAACCCCAGTAAAAATGGCCATCATTAATAAAGCAAACAACAGATGCTGGCAAGGATTTGGAGAAAAAGGAACGCTTCTACACTGCTGGTGAGAAGGTAAACTAGTGCAACCTCTTTGGAAGACAGTGTGGCAGTATCTGAAAGAACTAGAAATTGACCTTCCATATGACCCAGCAATTTCCCTATTGGGAATATACCCAGAGGAACTCAAATCATTCTACAAAAAAGATACCTGAACATGTATGTTTGTTGCAGCTCTATTCACAATAGCAAAAACATGGAACCAACCATGCTGCCCATCGAAGCTGGACTGGATTAAAAAGAAGTGGTACATACACACAATGGAATATTATGTAGCCATAAAGAAGAACAAACATATGGACTTTGCAGCAACTTGGATGGATTTAGAGTCGATCATACTCGGTGATCTATCACAGAAACAAAGAACAGAGTACATATGTTCTCACTCATAAGTGGACCTTGACAATTATAATATTATAAGAAAGTGATTGGCAGTAGTGGGAAATTGTCAGGGGAAGGGGGGGTGGGATTGGCAGCTGAGGGAAACTGCTGGGGGAGGGAGGGGCATACCTCATCAACAAGGGTACCTGCATAATCAACGTTTGTATAC